TGTTCATTAAAATTATTAAAAAAGAAACAAGCCTGGAAGGAGGAGTGGTATCCACTTCCGAAAAAGCTTGCCTCTGGAAACTCTATGAACTTGGAGAAATGAAAATGATGAAAGTTATACTGATGTCCAGGTCTTTTGCTCATAGGGTTGCTATGAGTTGTCTAGGACTGGACAGCACTTAACCACAACAATTACAACAACATTAACTGAATGCCTGAGTTGGGTCCTGAGGACACAGAAATGAGGAAAACAAATTATGATTCCTTTGATGAATTAGATAAAAATATATATTGATAAATAGCTATATAATTATCAGGTAAACATACAAGTAGACAATATTGTCTTGCTACTATAAATTTTCAAGCCAGGTGAACAACTATGTAGGTATTTCAAATATGCTATTACTGTAAATACCAAATAAACTAAGGAAAAAACCCAAAACAGTAATGTCGAACTGGGCAGTCACAAGGAACATGGGACTATTTAAATTAATAAAAATGAAATAAAATTTAAATATTCAATTTCCTTAATTTTTTAGCTATGTTTCAAGTCCTCAAAGTACACAATGCTGTTGCTGTTAGGTGTTGCTGGTTCCATTTCAGTTAGTAAGAACCCCATCTGACAAAGAACTGCCATCAATGGGTTTGTAGGCTGTCACTGTTATGGGTCAGATTCCTGTTCTCTTTCTCCTGTTGAGCTCCTGTTGGTTCAAACCAATCAATCTTTTCGTTAGCAGCCAAGTGCTTACCCTTTGCACCAACTGGGCTAGCATGTTCTATCAACCTAGATACAGAAAATTTCCAACATCACAGAGATACAGGGGCTGCACGAATTTAGGTTAGGTAGCCAGATAACATAGTAATGCCTAATAAACTAAATTCCAATTGTATGCAATAAAAGGATTTTATAAAACAGGCAGTATCCATGTAATAAAAGTGTCATTTATGAAAAACCCAGTAGGAGAAAAACTAACCCCTGTAAAGCTGATTACATTGAAAATTTGAGACACATGCAATGGTCTGTAATAATATATGTCATTTAACTTTGTGATATACATCAAAATATTATTACATTAAAAAACCCCAACAAAACATTATTATTATTATTATTATTGTTGTTATTGTTGTTGTTATCTTATGTTGAAGAGCTTTAGTATAACTACAAGTGTTTCTTTAATGCTCTATGAAAAGAAGAATATATTATATGCTAAGACAAATATTTTACTGATGTTACATATCTAATGTACTTGGTTGTTTGGATTCAGGTACAAACTCAAAATTAAAGACAGATTTAAAAACAGCACTTGTTTGCAATATGAAATTCCCTTATTAAAAGGTAAATTTACTTTCAAAAGTAAAATTCAGTAACGAAAATGTGATTACTTTATGCCTCAGGGGTAAAAATGCTCAATAAACAGAAACAAGTCATCAAAGTAGAAGAAACAACATGTCTAATTTTACAGGGAGATTCATTACTTATTCTTTAAAAGCTTGGAGCTTATGACTTTACCTTTGTTTAAAGATCAGTTTTCTAAAGGAGGAGGTGGCACAGGAATGTGGCAGATTTCACGTGTGGAATTCATTTGTTGGGACATAAACAGTTTCCAATTCTATAAAAAACAAAAATGAAAAACTGACATATATCCGAAAAAGGAATACAAAGGAGCAAGAATAATTTTCAAAAGCCTTTCATAAGTTTACCTAATTTTTAAAAATGAAGGGTCCAAAGTGCTTCTAAAATAATGACCAGATTGGCAATAAAATGAGAGAGGAAATCTTAAGATTTATTCTCAAATGTGCCATTAATTATCTGTAATACTCTCATGTGGTTTTTTAAATTATCTGGAGCTTTATGAAAATAATTTGTAAAATTAAGTCTCTTTCAGACATAAAATTCTATGAATATAATCTTTGAAAAGTTACCGTAACAACATTCACTTAACCAATCATCTTTTAAAAAATCTTCCATTATAATTTTGATTTTTGTAACTTTTAGCAGCCCAATAAAAAGACAAAATTTAACAAAGTATCACAGTATACAAAATAATTTTGGATGAGTTTAAAAGAACTAGTTTTTTGCCTTTTATGGTGAATGAAAACACAGGAAAAAAGCTATTACTTGAATTTCTGAAACGAAAATAGATTAAAAACTTTGAGTTCTAGAGTTTAAAATTGTTAAAAGTATAAAGATTCTTCTTAGGAAAAAAGAACTTTTCATTTATTGGCTGACTGCATTATACTAAAGTTCTGTGATTCAAAATTGCATTACAATCTCAAAATCAGAAACACTAAAAAAACCCCAAACAAACCCAAAAGCCAAACCACAACACTCCAAAATACCAAAAATTACATTAAAAAAAATGAAAATAAAGTCTACTTTTTTCTTTGAATACAAAGAACAAAGAAATACAATTCCCTTGAAGTTCAATGACATTATCATTCTGAAGTTTCCAGTGTTTGTGGTAAGATACTGGTGGTTGTAAGAACTGCAGGTTGTAAGAACACCAAGTCTTTGGTATTTCAAATAGAAGCAGGGTCACCTCTGGTAGACAAGTTTCAGCAGAGCTTCCAGACTGAGACAGATCAGGTAAGAAGCAGGACTAGCTATCCATTTTTGCAAAATGGGTCCTAGTAAACACATGAATAGAAGCCGAATAGTGTCTAATGTACTGCTGAAAGATGAAGCCCTCAGTTTGGAAAGCACTCATAGTATGACTGTGGAAGAGCTGCCTCCTCAGAGCACAGTACTGATTAACACAGTGACTACAACAATGGGTTTGAAGACAGCAGAGCTTGGGAGGATGGCTCAGGATCGGGCAGGGTTGCACAAAAAGGTCCACATAGTCGTCTGCTGCACAGAGTTGCTACAAAGGAAGGGTCAACTCAACAGGATCTAAGGGCAACAACTCCAACCCCAGTAGTTGACTTTTAACCTCATATAATGAGCTTTCAAATGTGATTTTGATTTCATGAGAAGGTTTTGTTGTGGAGAAAACAAAAAAGATTAAAAGACTCTCTTGGGAAAGATAAAAAATTGGTAACACATGTGAAGGGCCAATGTCAAAGGAAGTGAGTAGGGAAAAGACTACACTACGACAGCCCTTTTGGACCTTGAACACTTTAAATTACCAAGACAAATGCCAATTTATGAACCAGTGCAAGAATGTGACTGAAGGACTACACCAGGACACTTTGTAGAACTAGGCCTCTCAGTCTATTAGGGCTGACTGAGGACATGTAATAAGCGCTCATAAAAACCTCCAAAACATCCCTAAAACAGCCCAATCTTTGATTAACCAGACACGACTTAACCCATTATTTCATTACAAAAACAAAAAATGGGAACTCAGCCTGGAAGATAACATTATCTAGGGACTCTACACATCAATAAAAAAACACTGCTAAGTATGCAAGGGATAAGAAAATAGACTGATAATTAAAAGAAAATTAACTCTAGACAACACATCAGAGCTATCCCTAATCCAATATTAGAGTTAGCAGGTGAGAAATATTAAAAAAATTCTATATTAGAGAAAAGAGAAGGGGAAATGGAGAAAACTAAACACGGATGGGTGGAGCTCCGATGTCTACTGGTAAGGAATTGTGCTGCCAACCCAAAGAACACAATGTGAATTCACCAGCTGCTCCACGGGAGAAAGATGGGCTGTCTTGTCCCATGTGATTAACTGCCTCTTAAAATCCACCGCAGGGTCAGCTATGGGGCGGCTCCAAATTGAAGGTACCCAACAACATGAATGATAGAGACTTTAAGAGGAATCAGGATCTATAAAAATAATGAAGACATTCTCAAACTGAATAAAATAAGTATAAAACTAATAACTCAACATACTGGTTTTATACCTCCTGGATACACCAGAATGTAAAATTAGTATACTGAAAGACAGATTAGTAAAAACATACACAGAACTAAGCGCACAGAGGAAGAAAAGAGAAAGACAAAGATAAAGGGGAAAGGAGCAGGAAGAAAGTGGAAAGTTTACTGTATTACAAACATGGGACATGCTAGAGCTCCAGACAAGAGGTCAAAGAAAGAAGACAAGAGAAGGACATAAGAGGTATACAAATTGGCAAAGAGGAGGTAAAATTATCCCGCTATGCAGATGACATGATAGTATACTTAGAAAACCCTGAAGACTCAACAAGAAAACTATTGGACATAGTTGACCAATTCAGCAAAGTAGCAGGACACAAGATCAACATACAAAAAGCAGTTGGATTTCTCTACAGTGACAAAGAGAATACAGACCTGGAGCTATGAAAAACAATACCCTTCACAATAGCTAATCACAAGATAAAATATTCGGGAGTAAATATAACTAGAAGCACAAAGGATCTATTCAAAGAAAATTACAAAACATAACTACAAGAAACAAAAAGAGATCTGGAGAAGTGGAAGAATATCTCTTGCTCAAGTATAGGAAGACTCAATATTGTGAAAATGGCAATATTACCAAAGGCAATTTACAAGATCAATGCAATCCCAATACAAATACCAATCCCATTCTTCAACGAGATGGAAAAGGCAATCTCCAGCTTCATTTGGAATGGAAAAAAGCCACAAATAAGCAAAGCACTCCTTAAAAATAGAAAAAAGGTAGGAGGCATCTCACTCCCCGATTTAAAATCCTACTACACTGCCGTGGTAGTCAAGACAGCATGGTACTGGTACAATGACAGACACATAGATCAATGGAATAGAATTGAGAACCAGGAAATCAGCCCATCAATTTATGGTCAACTGAATTTTGAAAAAGAGATGAAATCAGTTAAG